CAAATTTCAAAGATTGGGGGGGCAAGGCCGTTTGTTTCAAATACGCCCGCCTCAGATGTTGCTGGTGCTCGAAATGTTGCGCGGCCACAAACGTGTGTTGCTGATGAACAAAGAAGGGTATGGACAGCGGGCAAAACGGCCGACAAAACGCAACGCATGCAAGGTAAATATCCACCTCTCTTGACTAACATACCATGATCGCTTGTCGATCAGGCCAAAGAGAGCCGCGACTCAGTTTTGCGTTACAGGAATGAGCACAAATATTGCGGCAGCATGCTGTCGAGCTATGCAAGAGCAGCGACGCCAACGACGACTGCGACAGCGGCAATATTCGAATGTTAGAGCTCTGCCGGCACAGTGGAGCAACCGTTAGTCGTTGAACTGAGAAAGAGCGGGCGAAAGAGGAGCAGAGAACATGACATGTCAGGCAAGGTCAAGCGTACTTGTTTTATAACATTTATTACTGCGGCTCATAAAAGTTTGACACGAATTTCGCTGCTTAAAAGTTCTGTTGCAAGAGAAGTTGTTTAGTGAAAACTCCACAAACGGTGGGGGGCCCACTGTGTGAGCAAAACCAGGTCACTACAGTGTATTCATCGAACTAATGAACAATTGTATACAATGAGAATATAATTATCCCATAGATTGCCATTTCGGCCCACTGTTTTCAGTTTGTTGCCAGCCGATCAAAAGCGACGCGCGCGGCAGTTCGAAATGTTGCGCAGCCTTACGACTGGCAGCATTTCGGCGGCCACTTGTTGACCAAGTTCGAACCGGCAACATGATGCCACAGGGAAAAATCTCGTTTTTAATTGTTGCTGTCACGCGCCCAACCACCCACAACACACACAAAAAATTCAGCTATGTTTCAATGCAATTTAGCAAATGAAAATTGCATAGCTGCCATTGGTTTTGTATGCCCTTTTTGAAGGGGTACTACGACTGCTAGCAGGCGTTTGCAAAACCGAAAAACAAGCCAAACAGTTTCCAATATGGTATATATACATACATACTATATGCATATGTACATATATCCACCTTATAGATAGCGTAACTCCTGCTTCGACTGACCTAAAATGTGCGGATTGGATCCTTCTTGTGGATTGGTTTTTTTATTTTTTTTTTTAGTTTTGTTGCCATTTTTATGTGTGTGGTGTGTGTGTATGTGTGCGGAGAGCAATTTATCAATGGCCAAGCGGTGGGAGGACTTCCCCTCCCACTGCCCTGCCACACGGATCCGTCAGTAATGCACCCAACCCCAGCCCCCGCTCCACCGCGCAGTATCTCCCACTGCCATGGCCCATCGCCCATTTGGCTGGCAATAAGTGATTTATAGGATTGTTATTTTGTCGTTGATGTCGCACTTTCGCTGCGCTTTATTTATTGCACTGTCTCCGGACTACGGACCACGGACTACGGGCTGCCTGCCACATGCCATGCCCCCGTTTGTGGCAGTGACAGCGGTAGTTGGTGGGTGGCACCACCGTTTCGCTCGGCCCGATTTGCCCCGATTTGAAGTGTGTTAATTTTTGTTTCCAACAAACGCATTTGCCATGCGAATTCGCGAATGGTTATGGAATTGGCATCGTACGCGGCAGGCAGACTGTGGGAAGGTTTCTCCATCCCTTGCTCACTCCCTGCCCTTTCTTCATGCTTCATTAGCAAATGGCTTTGACCATTGAACTGCCTCACGGCTGCTGTTGCTGGCAAATTGAGACACGGATATGGGATGGAGGAGTACGAGGAGCTCTCCGCTCGCGTCATGGTCAGGATCTTTCGCAGAATTCTTATTGCTTAGCAGAAATAAAAAAAATATAACCCCTAAATTCCAGAGTTGTCACCCAGCTGGAAAGCAGAAACTAGAAAGGGAAAATGTCTAAAAATGCCATTAAAAATGGCTAGAAGCAATGGTTAACTATTTCACCTTTCTTTTCCCTATTTCCTTTTCCCTATTCTATTATCAAAAAGCTAAACAAAAAAATCTGCACACAGCCGCGTCAAGTGTGTCGATGCAACCGTGCGCACAGTGCTGCCAGACTGCTAAACGCATAGCGGCGCGGTTTTTTTTTTTTTTTGTGAAATGAGCTTATTTTGGTTTTGTTTTGTTTATTTTTGTTGCATGCAGACGGCTGCAGGAGTTGGATAAGCATCGGAAATCCGCAACTGAGGCGGATAAAGATAACGTGCAGCAAACTCGGCTCTAGCCTGAATGCAGGAACGCGCGTGGCCAGGCCAGCAGAGGAGCAGCAGCAAATGTAAGAGTGCCGGGCAAGTCCATTCAACTAAAAGCTGTAAACACACAGCGATTGAGGGATATATATTTGATGTAGAGGTACTGGCAGCTACTGCGCTACCGCTGCTGCAGTTCTGTGATGGGGGATCTGGCCCGAGTACTCCGCCGGAACAGCAAGACAACAAGTACCATGACACGCCACGGAGAATTTGTCATGTGTGGCCCTTCAGGGAGAAGGCTTGGAGCAAGGCCCTGCTGCCTTGGGGAGTGTCTCATCGCTGGATGGCACCAAGCAGTTGTAGGACACTGAAAGCTGGAAAGGAGAACTCCCTACACGAACACCAGGAGCCCCTCTACGTGTGCAATTTTTGCTGAGCTGCTCGGCGTGCGGCTGCCGTGGTGCGTATTTTTTATCATCCAGCAGGGCGCAATGGGGCTTTCTTGGGCCTATACTTTGCCATCGATGGACGCTCTTTTCCGAGAACTTGGTATTACACAGCTAGTGGTGGGTTCTGTACTGGTCTGCCAGCAAACAACTTTTCGTTATCGGTGTACAAATTACCAAAGAAATAGAGAAATTCCAGATTTATTTCAATAATCTCTGTGCCATGCACTTTGTTAGATATTTATAGGATCGATTGCTATAAGCAAACTAACTTCATTCAGTGGCAATTTCCAGAACAAAAAGCAGCCAAATGAAGACATCCACGAAATCCATCAGAGATGGACGAATGCACTGGCATTGGGTGGTCCCCGAATTAATCTCAAATGATGTCTGAATCGCTGTAGTTCGTTCTGTACCAATTTGTAGCTCAGATCGGGTTCATTTCGGTCTCAGATTCAGTATGCGGCGATGGAGTGGGGGACGGGCAGCAACTGGAACACCTGCATCAGAATGCTGCAGAACGGGGGCTATCGAATTACCTAGGTAACCGCTGCCCCCCCGAAAATCATTATAAAATGGTTAATAACTCTATAAGCAATTAGAGGGCAGGCCCTCATCTATGCTCCGACTGACGCGCACCAGCAGACAGACAGAGAGACAGACAGCGAGACAAATAGACAGGTTTTTGTCTGCTGTCGAAGAAGGGCCACTCCGCAGACTCTGAGCCACTGACTGACTAATGATGCCAGCGGATAAGACAGCCACAGGACAGCCAGCCACAGTCATTCACATTCACAAAGCAAATGATGGATTATTGTTTTGCCATAGCTGAAGGGCAGACACAGATACTACAGTTGCAGTTGCAGCCACAGATACAGAAATACAATTCGAAGCGTGAGAGGAGAGGTGGCAACGTAATAAATTGATATTTAAGCATTCGCTTCATGAGTTCATTTGCCAGGATAATGGCGGCACAAATCAAAGTTCGATTCGCTTTCTTTCTTCTAAGGGAATAATACAAAGATTTATAGAAAAACAACTAAAGCAGAGCAGTAAAGGATTCAGCCATTATTAATTCCTGTATTTTAACCTAAGAAACTTCTCTGGACTAAAGCAATCAAATAATATTACTTAAATCAGTCTGAAGTGAAACAGAAACCCCCTTGATGAGGATCTCCATCAAAGAGCTCTTGTCTTTCGGCTCAACAAGTCCACAACAACAACAACAATGATGGTGATGACGATGAGTGTCTCATTAATTGAATATACCCCAGAGTTAGGGATCCTTAGCACTGACCCTTGGAACCCTTCTGGCCGCCATGGGCCAACCAAAGGGCTTCGCGTAGCCCTTTCCACAGGGCAAACAAGGTCTCATTAAACCATCGCCATCTCCATCTGTGCATGCATCAGTCGATGGACAGTAAATGGACATGAAGTATTTTCACAGTTGACCTTTAATGGGTTTCTCCTGCCACACTTCCTGCCTGTCACTGGAACTGGCACTGGCACTGGCACTGGCAAGCAGCGTCCGGCATGACCGCAAAAATGACAAAACTATGCGGAAAATATCCAAAACAGGCCTGGACTTTGCTGGATTGGACTGGACTGGGGGTAGCGACCCTTATATAGGGCTCGCTGCCCTGCCCCCTTCCACTTCAATATCTGCAGCACTTTTCGAATCTCAAAGGATGCATACCCTTTGCAGTGGGTTGTATTATTCCGACAGGAAGGTTGTGTTTTTATTCAAATTTATTGCTCAAACAAAGTATCAACTCGTAGCAGTAACTTTAGATGTTATCTGACTGGAAATGGAGGAACAACTGCCCATTTATTTATTTTTTATTACTTATTTTATTTATTTATTATTATTTATTTTATTTATTTATTATTATTTTTATTGCCACATATTGAGGTTCATTTCCCATTCAAAGTGGCATCTCCTGGACTTTCTTTTCACTGCGTAATTTCTGTCTCAGAATTGCCCACAAAATGTGGCTGTAGTGCATTTGATGCTTCGGCTTTTCGTAGCGAGAATTTCACTCGCCTTGCGGATTGTTTAATTGTTTGTTGACCTTTTAGCGTTTGGCGCGTGACCGGGTCCATTTGTTCCCATTTTTTGTACCAACAGCAGAACAGCCGACCAGCAGGGGGTGAGAGCGCACGCGTGACCCTTCCGCCCTGCACCCTGACCAACCGCCCTCGCATTGTTTTTAAAAAAAATTCGACCCCTGGACATTTCTTGCTGGATATTGCCATTTTCGGTTTTCAATTAAATTGCCAAAAATTATTGCTTTTTGGGTGTGGAATCGGGGAATCAGGCATCAGCCAGCAGCCATCAGGCAGGGGGGGGGGGGGGGTGTAAAGTGGGTGGGCAGGGTTGTG